GTCCTTTTTGCCACATTCTCTATCATCAAATGTAGAGGGGTGAGGTTTAAGATCACCTCCATTGCGGCCGTAGGACAGGTTCTCATTGCACCAGTAATGCAAACACAGGCTAGTCTTTGTTTTTGTGTTAAATTATACGATCTAATCCTTTAAATTGTCCGTTATCCGGAATTTCAATAATTCTTTATATCGATTATTGCCTGGAAGGTTATAAATTGGCCAGATTTTAGGCTTTATTATGACGATGTTAAAAAATAATTGTGGCGCGCGTTTCAAATTTGCTTGATTTTTTTTTTAATGTTAAAAAATTCTTGTAGGAAAATTTTAAAAGAGAAAAATTTCAAAAAAATATTTTTAGATTAGATTTTGTGCTAGCTTTTAGAAAAAAATATTTTTGAATTTCACCTAACACGCCCATTCAATTCTAACTTGATAATGTAACTGTTGCACATTACAGGGTGTTACAACTTTTATGAAAAAATCACGCTATATTTGCTACACCCTGTATTAATAAAAAGGAGGGTTTAATGCAAACACAGTTAGCTTACCGAGGTTCTGGAAGAAACAACCTGTCATTAAAAAAAAAAACGTCCAAATCAGACAAGTGGATTTGACAAATATTTACTTTATTTTTCGATGGTGCGTTAATTTATTGGAGAAGTGTATATATTACATATCAATATTTTTATTGTTAATTGAAAAGTTTTTCAATATGTAAGGTAAGAACAAAAATAAAATATTTTAGATTAGAGAATATAGTGTCTTCAAGTGATTAGGAAATGTGTCTGGAACTCACGAATAAGATTATGGCACAAAGCGATCATTTCAAGACAGTAGATTAGTACTGAAAATCAAGAGAACAAAGAGAAAAAATATATGAGCCGATGATAAAAGTACTTATGATGGATGTATGGAAGAGAATTGTTTATGATGCAGAAAATCCAAGATAAATTAAAAAGAAAAGAGCAAAGACTGACAAGACTAGTTTCTTGTAGATTGTAGTTACTTTATCAAGGAGAAGGAGATCCAAAGAAAGCAGAAAAATCGAGGAGAAGCCAATGAAGAGAAAAAATGTAAACAAAATGATCTAGTGTATTAATCTTAAATGTCAAAGTTAGCATTTATTTTATAAATTATATTTACGATGTACTAGATCAGTGGTCGCCAACCTCTCAATGTGTTAAGCTACTTTGTTAATTTTGGAATAAACAGAGAGCTACCCACACGGAAGCCACGTAACGCAACGTAAATGAAATAATCCACAGTTAATTTATCATTATATGTATTTATTTCACTATTTAACTGGAAATACATAATACGAGTACATAGGTACTAATAATAAACTAATAACAAAATAACTAATATTACTAGTACATACTTGTTCATAGCTACATTCCTACCTACCAAACGAAGGTGTTTAAAAAATAAACACAAACTTTTATCCAGCCACAACGGCATGTCACGTAAGATTTAAGAATAGTTAATAATAACAACAAAAAAGTAACGCACTATCATGAACATAAACATTGAAAAATAAAAAAGCACGCTCAATGAGAAGGCTGACACTCAGACTCATCGATAATTTTTCTAATGTTTACAGTATAATTTAATACAGCCATTCGAATACAATTATCCAAATGTTCATCTGTAAGTCGATTGCGATATTTGTTCTTAATAAACTTCATATTGGAAAAAGAAGATTCACACAAATAGGTTGAACTGAATAATGCTTTCACTTTCAAGGCAACACGGCATAGAACTGAATATTTGTCTTTACTTACAATAGGCCAGATACATTTGGTACTTGAGACTAACGATTTTAAGGCTAAATCATTTTGAAACTCAATTACTTCCATTTCTGTTGCAGCGATGTCTTCGCCAAAGTTCTGCATAACACAAGTTGCAAACTGTTGTGGATATCAATTTCCATAAAGGGTGAAACAACAAACTGCGCTACCAAAGCCATTTCGTTGAAATCCTTAAAACGATTTTTAAAGTTATTCTTTAGGGTAGAAAATATTTCTACATGATATTTGCTGTCATAGGGTTCTAATGGATTTTGAGATATTTTTTCTGAAAGAATAGGAAAATGCTTGGCATCGCCGTTAATTAGGTTTTGTTCCCAAAACTCCAGCTTTTTGATAAATGCTTTTATATCAGAAATCATTTCCGCTAGTTCTTTGTCTCTCCCCTGAAGCTGCAAATTAAGTTCGTTTAATTTCTCTGTAATGTCCACGAGAAAACCAAAATCTCTAAGCCAGATTGAATTTTCTAGTTCCGGAGTCGGTTCATCGGGTTGTTTGAAAAATTGAACTATGCCAGATAGGACATCATTAAAACGTTTCAGCACCCGTCCCCTACTTAACCATCGGACTTCAGAGTAAAGGAGTAGGTACCCGTATTGACAGTCAACTTCATCGGCCAAGGTTTTGAATAATCTTCTTTGTAACGCTTGAGCTCTAATCTTGTTCACAATTTTTACCACCAGTTTTATAACGTTGTTTAGTTTCAGGAAATTTCCACATAATGCTGGATAATGCAGTGGTAACAGAGAAATTGCGGAAAAGTTTCATCTTTACGACCTAACGCCACCAGACCCTTATCACAACCCACCATAGTTGGAGCGCCATCGGTTGTCAAGCCTAGCATTTTCGATATTGGAGTTTTCTCGGAAGAAATAATATTTTTTAAATGAGAAAACAACTCCTGTCCAATAGTGTGTCCTTTCAGTGGAATAAACTTCAAAAGATCTTCTTTAATATCACTAAAAACCATCCTGACGAACACGGCCATCTGGGCAGTGTCAACGACATTTGTTGATTCATCCAGTTGAAGTAAAAAATAAACACAGTTATCTAAGTCAGTTCTTAACTGTAAAAAATATCATTGCTCATTACTTCTACACGTCTCATCACTGTATTAGCAGAAAGTTGCATAGATTTTATAGCTGAAACTATCTCGTCTTTATTTCTAAAGTTGGCAAATAACGAATCAGCAGCTTCTAAAACGCCTGTTTTATCATTTCCCCGTCTTCATAAGGTTTCTTTTTTTATGCAATTATCTGGGACACACGGTACGATGCTTCAGTTGCAGCCTTATTTTTGTCGACTGTTCTTAAAAATATTGATTGTTGTCCAATTAACTGCTTTTTTAACTGTTTCAGTTTCTCCTTTCTGGCGGCAGAATGTAGTGGGAATGATTTTTTCAAAATTAGAATGTACAGTTTTATGATGTCTCTCAATATTTCCTTTTTTAGCAACGGAGGCCGAAGTATTACATAATAAACACACATTTTTATCTTTAACTTCTGTAAAAAAGTATTGTTCTTCTCATTTCGAATGAAAGTGGTATGTCTTTACCTTCTTCCAACTGCTTGCCATAATATTATTTTTTGTTGTTCTCTACTAACCCAACCGCTAGACGTTGGTTACGCGTTCAGTTTTAAACTAAGCGCAATGTCGCCGCGCCGTGCGTATTTATCCCGTTCAAAGCAATCCTGATCGTTCTCGAACACTAACGCGCTGGTCCGGCTGATCGGTTCTAGTCGATTCTAGCTTAATGGCGTCAGCGGCAGATCGCTCACCGCAACGTTGCCGCTGTTTATGTTTAATAATATGACAATTAGATTTTTTTGTGGAATTTTCGGAAGCTTCTCTGATTTTTGCAGTTTCTATTTTTTAAATTAAAATCGTTGTGAGAGCTACCAGAATTGCCTCCGCGAGCTACCGGTAGCTCGCGATCGACAGGTTGGCGACCACTGTACTAAATAAATAAATTTATAATTTTTTATTAAAAAAAGTGGTATTAAGGTAGTTCACTCGCGACAGTCGTACATAAAAATATCGCATAATGGTGAATACCAAAAGTTCGAGATTCTTAATGCTAATCAATTTTATTTTTATAAGAGTCTGTACCAAACACATGTAAATAAATACATATGGACATGTTATGATTTTAATAAAATTCATCCGGCAAACTCGCAAATATATGAACGGTATGGTATTGAAATTTGAGACTTCCTCATAACTAATTTTAAGGGTTTGTTTTGGTTCAAACAGAACCGCGGATTCCAGTTCTCAAACCAGTGGACGAATTAATGTTTCAAGAACACGTCGAGAGTTTATAACAACCTCTTAGCTGATCGAGTGTTACTTTGTTACGTGAAGTGGTTACAATGTTGCCAAGTTGTTATAATTTTACGAAACTACTCGACAACTGCTTTTAAAATATTTTTATTTTAAAAATCTATATCTTTTTACTGAGACGTTAAAAAAATTCAGCGATTTTTTATAAAATTTTATAACTTCTTGATTTATTTAACATTAGTTTTTAAAAAATATGGTAAGAACCGTTTTCGAGATATCTTGAAATAAATGCATTGCTTGTGTACATGATAGGCTTTAAGAGTGTTAATTATGCACATTTTGATTGTTAATATCTCGTTTCACAGACGGTCAAAAAATCTCATTTTTTTTTAGTTACGTAAACGACATTTTCATAAACCTTATATTTTAATTTTATTGAATTTTTAAGAAAAACCGTTTTATGAGTGAACAACCTTAAAAGTACCTACACAAATTTTTATAATTTATTTGAAATCTGAACTTCTTTTGTAATATTGTTTATGTTTTTTACGATAATGCCTGAATTTGAGCCTGAGTATCAGGGTTTGCTACATAAACTTAGAGACTAAATAAACCTGCAACTTAAGTATACATTGTATATTTCCACTTGTAACATCCTGTACATGATATTATAGTATCTAAGTAGTATGTTGTTTTTATTTCTTGATAGTTTTTGTTAAAAAAAAAAAATTGATGGTCAATTGAATTATATTCATGCGTGTTATATTTTTTGAATTATAAGAATTTTAATTAAGTTTTGCTCTACGATAAACCTAATTCTTTGGAATGGTATTTCACACCACTCCCGTATTTATGCATTTAAAATTTTACACTTTTTAAAATAAACTAAAGTTTAAAATATTGTTTTCTGATTAGGCTCCTGAACCAGTAGAGCCCTGGACTGGCATCAAAGATGCTACTAAAGCTGGAGATCCTTGTTACCAAAGAAATGAATTTTCATTTGCTATAGTGGGCTCAGAAGATAACTGCATGCATTTGAATGTCTATACGCGAACAGTAAGTATAATTTCATTTATGTAAAAGCTAGCGAAAAAGAAAGTATGCATAAAGGGTCCCAGGCAGCACACATTAGTATAACTAACGTATTTTATACGTAATACTCGTTTAATTTTGGTATTGGTTGATTCCGTATACGTTTACAGTTTACGATTATTATACATGCCGTATTTTAAAAGATATATTATACGTTTTTTGTATACATCCTATGGTACATAATTGTAAATTTTTCTACGTTTAAATGTAGTTATCAATATACGACTATTTTTAGTTTGCGATGAACTATTTATATACAGTGGGCCTAAATATACGTTTAGGTTTATTTAAATTAAATTCGTATAAATTTACATATTACAATATGTGTTCTTCATTTATAACTCCCGTTTAAATTTCGTCTTGGGTGATTTTTTAAACGTTTACCATCTACCATTTTTATACTTAACGTTTTTTAACAGATAAATTAAACGCTTTTGTTTGTCGATACTAGTTAATATACCTATATTATTCTACGTTTAAATATAAGTCACCTTAAATGCATATTACTAGTTTACGATGAACTAGTAGACAGAAGTAAATAATATGTATATATTTAGGTTTATTTAAATTAAAAGCTTATAGATATATTTATTTACATTACACCATATTTTTTAATTATATTACCTGTAATATTTATAACAAATTCCCCATTGTACCGATTTCAAACACCCGAACATTTAAATAACCCGCCAATAACCATGATGGGGTGGACTAGTCCATGTCGTTTCAGTGAGTGAGATTCGGGGTGTGCTTTAAGCTAAGTCGGGCTGGTCCAAAGTGCGCGTAGTGCAGAGAATCGAGAGGGGAGTAAGGTACCGGCAGACGATCGAGAATCAGCTGACTAATGGTGGCTGGTGGCTGTGAAGCGCTCGCTATCAATCAGATAATTCACGCTATTATAAGTTATATTTCTGTTAACTAGATGCTAACCACGATAATGGTTTTTTATGTAATAAAAAGTTATTGTAAAATTGTTGGTGTTGTTGTTGTTGTTGTTGTTGTTGTTGTTGTTGTTGTTGTTGTTATTGTGCCCAGTTGCATTGCATGTTGCTTTGGCGTCCTGGCTTTTACGATATTGGTTAAAAGCATAGGTAAGTTTCTATTAATGTTTTAATTTAGCTACTCGTTTAATAATTGTTGCATTTTACAAAAACTAGTGTTTTATTACAGTGTGTAAAATGCTTATAGAAACTCCAAAACATAACCTTACTTTTGTTTCTTTTATTTTTATACGTATTTCTATACGTATTTTTTAGGCTACCTAGTTATTCCAAGCATACTTATTTTCCTTTTTTTTGGTCAGTTGTTTTTTTATTTAAGAAAATGTCTAAAATAACCCTGTCTCGGCGTCATCTACTAAGAAAAATAGCACAAAATCTTCAAGATGCTTTAAAGTCAAATCAATTTTTTTTTATTCCCAATGAAGATAACATTAATATGGTTTCGGGCATTAATATATCATCTGATTCTATTATTTATAATAATACCCTAGAAAATAATACAAATTTAACATCGGAGCTTTTAGAAAATATTTCACCTGAAATGCAGTTACATTTTGGTTATAGGAATGGAGGTTAACCAAGAGACTTAACCGACCGAACGCTTAGAAGTGCTATGCAAGATTGGCTTAAGTTAGCTAAGGCCTGTCTAGGACACAACACATCCTAAGATTTTAATTTTCATATATATTTTTTGTTAGTTAAAGAAAAGTTTAGTTATTATTCAGTATTTTAGTGCTTTTATTACTTATTTATTTTTTAGTATTTTATTGTTTATTTTTTTTAATAAAATATTGTTCTGTACATATAACAAGTGATCAAAAAAGTTTCCTAAATATTTAGGCCAATTACAACCAAAATAGAAACACGAGTAATACCTATTTCTAGTGTATACACACCTGCTATGGATGAAATCAAAACTGTCGTTTAAGAAATATTAACATTTTTCCATGGCCTCTTTTAGAAATTTTGTTTTGATCACTTTATTTAACTTGTGTTTGAAATACATTTAAAACAATATCAAGTAGAGGCATTTTACACATTAATAAAATAAGATAAATCTAATATAGACGTATGGTAAAACAGGATAATAAAAAGAAGATAAAGTAGTAATATTAGACGTATAAAAAATATAAAAAAATATACGTTTATAGGGCGGACATTTTCACGTATATATTGGGTAGCATATCAACGGTATCCATACGTATATTGTAGTATATAAACAAAACGTCTTTTATACCAAAGTGGATTCGAATAAATATACTACAACTATAAATCTAATATAGACGTATAGTAAAAACGTTTAATTATAATAGGTGGATAAATTCTTAGTAATCGACGTTTATAAGGCGGACATTTTCACGAATATATTTGGTAGTACATCAACCATATTCATACGTATGGTAGTACCTAAAAAAACGTAATTTATACCAAAGTGTGCTGCCTGGGGTTTGTCAATATTCTATAGCGTACACATTTTAAATGATAATAGCCTCCAAATAGATGTACATTTTTTTGACTAGGCTACTTTCGTTAATTCGAACTTTATTCTCAAACAAATTTTATTGTTATTGTAATGTCTTATTATCTAGGGTAATTTATGGTGTTATTGAAATACATATGTATTGTAATGATAACACCTTATATTAAAATATAATAAAACTAAAAATAATAACATTACTAATAATAATAACTATAATATAATAATAATAAGAATAAATAAAAATAATGTGGGAAGATGTACCCTGTATATTAAAATTTGGTATATAAGGGTCATAAGTGAAGACTTTGGGTAAGTAAGTAGAAAAGGGTGGTTTCTAGGTTTGGGGATGATTTGATTGTCAATTTTGATTTTTGAAAAATGTCAGTAGTAATTTTGGAAAATAAATTGAATTGTAAATTAAAAGAATATACAAACAATTAAATAAGCAAAACTTAGAAGTTACGTTGTAAAATATAAAAGGAACTATAAATAGATACAGAAAAAAAAGGAGAGTACATAAAAAAAAAGAGGTGGAGATGGATGTAGACCAGGAGTCCAAAGAAAAGTAAAGAATAGTAGAACCAAGACTGTGAGTACGCCATAATATATAAACATTTTATTTTGTGCGTTTTGACTGATAAATATTTAAAAAAAATGGAATAAAAGGTATCTAACAATTTGTTTCGTTAGAAAATTGGACAATTCTGAAATTAGATGTAAATTTAGTTAATTTTCATAAATGTCTAAGTGATAAATTATAGTTATTGGATTTTGTAAATTTTGACAATTCCAATTTTTTAGTAGGTGTAGTAGGGTCGTTTATAAGTTATTTTCTTCAAGATATGGAATATCTGATTTGTTCAATGTTTTCTATAATGTGGTGTGGAAATTAAACTATAAGTTGATTTTTATAAGAGTTTTGTTTATTTAAGCGTTTATTTTTCACAATATAACAAAAGACAGGTACTTATAAAATTTCTTCATCTACGAGAACTTTTGCATAATTCCAATAAATAGATTCTACAAAAGATTAAAATATAATTAAAATATAATTAAAATATAATTAAAATATAATTAAAATATAATTAAAATATAATTAAAATATAATTAAAATATAATTAAAATATAATTAAAATATAATTAAAATATAATTAAAATATAATTAAAATATAATTAAAATATAATTAAAATATAATTAAAATATAATTAAAATATAATTAAAATATAATTAAAATATAATTAAAATAATATTAAAATAAAATTTAAATAAAATTAAAACAAAATTGAAATAGAATTCATATAAGATTAAACAAAATAAGAGTATTAATATTATAATTTGGAAGCACCCCTGAGATAAAAAAAAAATTATACTTTAATTAAAATAAACATAAAATTGACTACAGTATATCATTACAAATGGCGCCCAACGTGGGGCAGTAAACTGTCAGACTGACAATAAGGCTATAAATCTGTCAAAATAACAAGTGTTAAAATAAAAGTTTTAAAATAAGTATATTTAGTTGTTAAAATAATAGTAAAAAGTGGAAAAATAAATTAAAATTGAGTGCAATAATTAATTGTGTATAAATAATATAATAATTAAAAAAAAAATACTGTTTAATAAAATGGATTTAAGAGGAGGAAAAAGGATAAGTAGAAGAGATGGGGAAGAGTTGGAAAATGTAGGACAGGGAGACAGTTTAGAAATAGAAGAACCTAATTTGACAGCAACAACGCTTGAAAAGAAAAGTGAAGAAAGCAATGAAGAAAAAAATGAAGAGAAACAAAAATAAGAAGAAAGAAGAACAAGAATTACAATAGGAAAAGAAAGTAGTAAGATTGAAGATATGAGTGTATCAGAAATGTTCAGAGCGATGATGGATAAGATGAATAAAATGGAGGAAAATATTCAAAAGATAGACGACATAAAAGAAGATATGAAAGAGTTGAAACAAAATATAAGAATGGAAATGATTGAAAGAATAACAGAGGTTGAAAATTTGCAAGAGAAAAGATTTGAAGTATTTGAAGGAAAAGAAACAGAATTTAAAGGAGAAATAAGAGAAGAAATAAAGAAAATAGAATTAAATAGACAGGATGATGTAGAAAGAATGATTAGTTTAGAAAATAAATGGATGAATACTATTACAAAAATCGATACTACAGTTCATCAAATTTCTAGAGGCTTTCGACGGCTAGACAGAGAAAGCACTACTGACAGGCATCCCGACGGATTTACGCAATGAAAGTACACTCTGCGCATCAAGTATTTCACTATTTCATTCAGACGTAAATGTCAGATGTAAATTTCGCTAAAACATTTCATTTATTTTCGTTTGTGTATTTTGCTCATTACAGTTTAATAGAACCTAAGTATGGAGTTTAATAGCAAATTAAGAGGCCGCGTGATTAACAGTCAATCTCGCGAAATAATAGCCAATGTTATAGAGTTTATGAGAAGAGAAACTTTAATTCACCTTCAA